CTCCTTACAGACGCCTGTGTGCTTCAGGACGAGGGGGCCCAAGCAGGGCGTGTGAGAAAACAGCAAACACTGGAATTGGAAAAGCACGCAGAGGCCACGGCACATGTGTAGTCACTGTCCTGTTGTACAGGCATCTTGTCAATAACGATTCTAATAATGTAAGACCTTAAATCGCTTTTTCTTATGTCACTGGTGGGGATTTCTGAGAATGTCCATGGAGAGGAATAGGTCAATTTTACAATGATAATGTACAAAGGATGGTTCTTATTTTGATTATTACATCTGTAACCTCTTGTTTTTAAATTGAACTCACAAATCATGGCCATCCATTTAAAGTGGTATCATAAATCAAAAGGAGACTACTTAGAAGCCGTTGTGACACCACCATCAAAGTCTAATTACATAATGGCCACTTTATAAACACAGCGACAGCCTGCAGGCATGTCAGGAGGGGATGCTGCTTCCTCTAGGCTGAAGTCACTTGGCATCACACTCATCTTTCAAGGCTCCTAAGGTGTGGTAATAGCTATGACTCATGAATTGTCCTTTTATTGCTGCACCGATTACATGATTTCCACCATCAGATGAGCTATTAGATTCTTACTTCACTTGCTTACTGCACACAAATAGCCTCACAGTAAATGCCACGTTTACTAAGGCAAATCAGTGGGATCCACCTGCCAGATATGACCTACCAGTAAAAAGGTGGGGGGAGAGAATCTAGTGTCGTGATCTCAATGGTTCCCTTTACATAAAGGAAGAGAAGTAAAGATGGCTTTATCTACTACCCCAGGAATCCAACCAGAGGCAACCTGTGGACTAAGAAGAGGGGCTTGCTATGTTAGTGCCCTGAAACAGAGGACCCTATGAAGGGGGACCCAGAGGGTGCTCGTTCTGACTGAATGGAAGAGAGCAATGAGGCAAGGGGCTAGGTAGGCAAGAAGCTCGTTCAGAGGACCCAAGAGAAAATCGGCAGGTGAACCCCGATATCCTCTTCTACAAAATGAGATCGGTGACCAGAAGGTCTGAAGCCTCCCTCTGAATGTCACAAGTGCATGTGTTGATAGTCGGGGCTGCACAGAGACTGTACCATGGCAGAGGGCAAGCAGGGTGTCAGGCCACCAGGATCCATCCTGGTCCATAGGAGTGGGGAGTGGGCGGGGCCTCAGCTCTCCTAGTCTCAGTGTCCTCTTGGGCCTGGAGGCAGAGGAGTGTGGCAACAGGCAGTCACCTCCTGGGAGAAGCCCAAGGGTAGATGTAGCACTTCTAACTACCTTCACTTTTCCCTCAATAAGAGCATCTGGAACATATTTAATGCTACACAAGCAGCATACATCTCACTACTCCAGCACATGTTGTACGTGCTACTTGGGATAAAACGTTCTCTCTTCTGAATGTCTTCACAGGGTTCACTGCTGTAGAGAATGCACTGCACCTTGCACATCCCCATGGACGTTTGGAAGAGGCCTACCAGAACACCCAGGACGCCCAGGGGGAGGCGGCATGCGGCATGCGCGCTGGGGAAGCAGACTGTCACCAGAACTTGCTTTTGCCAAGACCCTCACATCAAAGAAGGTTCCCCAGGACCAGGAGCAAGGGCAGGAAAATGGGCCCTTCCGAGTGCAACAATGCAAGTGAGCACCCGGGTATGAAGCAAAGATGAGCTGCAGCTACACCGAGACGTTAGAAACACTGGGTTCAGTCATCTACTACCTCCCCCTTTCATGTCTGCCTCTGTCCCCCAGTCCTGTCTCCTCTTCAGTACCTGAGCCACAGCCCACACACCTCACCAGCACCCCACATGTATGCCAGTCTTCAAAGCATCCCTCCAAATTCTGGTCCTTCTGGTCAGCTTTTGGGGAAGAAATTACATCACAATTTAAGTCACACTAAAAATTAAAATCTGAGAATAGCCAAACCCTTTCAGAGGTGTCTGCATTTTAGGAGACAGCAGGACAGAAAGCTTTAATTCCAAAGGAATCAATCCTCAAGGACGGGCTTACAAGTCAACTGGATAACACAGGAATTGGGCCATCCATGGGTTTTTCAGGTCTAGACATCTGAGCCATAATCCATGGGAAACTGCGGCAACCACTAACATGTGTCCATGTATGTTGGTCAGCTATGTTTGCTCTGGGGCCTGGAGATGTGCTGGAGAGCATATTATAGCATGTCTACACACATTTTTTCTTTTGTCAACTACTGACCTGCCAGCAAAATATGCTGAACTTAAACTTATGTCCATGTTGAGCTACACTAAGTGGCCTAAATTCATCATTTACAGGTTTGTATTCTTGTCAGTCTATTGCCTGATAAAAGGTGGTCTTAAAAAAAATCAGTACTCACCACATACCCGGATGAGTACTCCACTCTTCTACCATCTGTCCTTAGCTAGTTATCAAGTTGGCAGGGTTTCTGAGCCTTAGCACTGTTAACAGTTGGGTCAGAAAAAGTTTTGCTGAGGGATAGGGAGGTACCTGTGCACTGTCGGATGTTCAACATGTCCCTGGCCTCACCTGTGAAATGTCAGTGGCACCTTTTGAGGTATGACAACCAAAAATGTCTCCAGGCCTAGCCAAATGTTCCCTGGGGACAAAATCACCCCCATTTGAGAACCACTGAGTTAAAATAGATTATAAAAATGACAGCCCAATCCACTGCTGGGAAGAAAACAGCAGTTTTTACAGAGGTGGTGACGTAGTATGCACTTCCGAATTATCCTAACTCATGAGCCCCCCCTAAGTGTTATTCTAATGGAAACAGGGCACCCAAGGCTTCAAAGAAAAAAATTGATTCAGCAACTAAGACAGCGTCTGAGGGGAAAAGAGGTTAAGGGAAGGCCCAATCAAGCCTAATCTGGAGGAGAGTTTTTCTGTCTTCTAGTCAGACAACAGGCTCCTTTTTATTTATTATTTTATTTTATTTTATTTACTATGAACAGTTTGTGTTACTGGAAAATGGTAAAACTGAGTGGGACGTATATGCAGCTTACCCTCATTGGCTGAGCCAGCCCAGCAGACAACTGTGGAACAGGCTTCAAACATACAAGTTACCAAGACAGAGAAGCAGCACTGACCCATACACTGGCTCACAAACATCTTTCCGTTTGACCTGATAATGTCAGTGATTGATAAGATTTTTAAATTATGGCAGACCTGAAAAAATAAATAAATAAAGACCTGCATTTTTTGCTTATTACTACTTTGGAATCCATAAAGACCCAACTACTCTAAAAGGACATTTCCTGCCGGGCCAGAGTGGCCCAGTGGTTGAGCTTCATGCTATAAAACAGGAGGTCACGGTTGGATTCTGGGTCAGGCACATCCCACAGCCGGTGGGGGAGGGGGGGGCGTGGCGAGCATGCAGGAGGCAGCCAATCAATGATTCTCATCTTTGATGTTTCTATTTCTCTCTCCCTCCCCCTTCCTCTCTGAAATCAATAAGAATAAATTTAAAAATAAATAAAAATAAAAGCAAATTTCCCTGTCCTTTGTAAACCCAGGTTTGGTTGCACAGCTTTCTCTGCTTGCCCCGATGGTCCGCCCACCCTCATTCCAGAGTGACTGACATTCTTTAGCTCCATAAGATAAAGACCTTAACTGCTCCAGAGTGGAGCTCTAGCTGAAACGTCTGAGGGAGGGAAGCCAGCCGCCCAGCTTTTAGCACAGGTGTTTTACCTACACCTACAGGATGACTGTTAACATCTTTCCGGACCCTATTTCTATCACATCAAATTCCAACAGTGTTGCTAATCAGCCTATTTCATGCCCTTTTCTCCCTCTGCTCTAGACCGGTGCCATCAAAGTGCGTCCCCGCTCAGCATTCCCTGGGAATTCCTTGGAAATGCAAATGATCAGGCTGGCGTCCAGACCTAAGGAGTCCGCAACTCGCACCTCGGAGTCGTTCAGCAATGTGTTGTGACAACCCCTCCAGGTGGTTCCCGGAGGGAACCTAAAGTCTGACAACCAATGATTTCGGTTATTTCTATAACCACAGCAGGTTGTTTTTACAGCACACAAAAGCGTAGACTGGCAAATGCGCTTTACATAAGCTCTCACGGGCTCCTCAACCCTGATGCAAACTACATGTTATCCCCGCTTCAGGGACTGGCCACGGCTCAGGGCCCCGAAGCTAATCACTGCGGGTGGAAGATCAGTTTTTGTAGGTTTTCTCACTATTGAAACAAAGGTCTGTCACATTTTATTAACTAAGTCTTTATATTTTGCTTTTTTAGCTTTTGGCAATTGGGGGCGGGAGAGAAGAAATGGATGGGTGAGAGAGAGCTGCGTGCCAACTGCTTGGGTCCTACCGGATCGGGATTTAGGGGCGCGATTCGGAAAGGTGTTCTTCCAACAAAGGACGTGTAATTCGGCCGCGTCCCCTCGGTCTTTGCCGGCGGGGCTGTGCGCGTGCGACCGAGGAGTCGGGACTTGGGGGCGAGACACACCTCTCCTCGCCGCTGGCATCCCCGACGCAACAAGTTGTCCGCGAGAAGGGAGCCGGCCGCGCGCCCTGGGGACGGGTTTTCGGAGAAATTGGCACCCCTAAAACCCGGGGGGCGCGTAACCCGACACCGCAGCCCCGGGGAGAAGGTGGCGGGCGGTGAACCTGAAACCGTCCAGGGTCGCGCGGAAAGAAACCGCAGTCCCACTGGGTCCGAGTGAAAAGAAGAGGCGCAGAGGCTAGAATGGAACGGAGGGGGGCACCCCAGAAGATGAAGCGGGGGACTGGAGTGGAGAGAAAGGGACACCCCAGGAGATGGAAGCGGGGGGCTGGAGTGGATGGGGCACCCCAGGGGATGGAAGTGGGGAGCTGGGGTTGATGGGGCACCCCAGGAGATGGAAGTGGGGGCCTGGAATGGATGGGGCACCCCAAGAGATGTTAGTGGGGAGCTGGAGTGGATGGGGCACCCCAGGAGATGGAATTGGGGCTGGGGCAGAGGCTGGCATGGAGCAGAGTGGAAGCCCCAGGAGATGGAGGTGGGGTGGGCCACAACTCACTGTGTGGGTCGCTCTTCTCCCGGACCCCGTCCACGCGGCCGTCGGGTTGGATGCGCAAGAAGAAGCCCCCGTTTTTGCAGTACAGCCGCTTGGGGTCCTTGAAGTGGCCGGGCGGGAAAGCGCCGCTGCCGCCGTCGTCCGGCAGGGAGGGCATCGTGGTGATG